CTCTAAAACCTTAATTTTTTGTAGTGTGTATAAGAAATTAATCTTTTTTGGGCAAATTACATATAGCTCCCTCGAGGTTTAGCAAAATTACAGATACCCCCTGAGGTTTGAGAAATTACAGATACCTCCCTGAAGGTACTATTTACATAATAAATTAAGAGGCAAATTGTTATGAAAATATAAACCTCAGGGGGCAATTTGTTATTAAAATATAAACCTCAGGGGGTATCTGTAATTTTTGAAACCTCTAGGAAATATCTGTAATTTAGCTAAACTTCGAGAGAGGTATATGTAATTTGCCCTTTTTTTTTTTCTCACAAGTTAAATTTCATAAAACTAATTTGTACTAGATGAAATTATTCATAATTTTTTTTTGATTTCAAGTCAATTTCATTTTCTCGATTTAAAAAGAGACAAATTACGGCAGTAGCCATTGTACTTTAATCTTTGTATCATTTTAATTTCTATAATTCTAATTGACTCGATTTTAACTCTTATTCCAATTATTAATTAAGGCCTCGTTTGGCAAGAGGCTATTTTAGCCAATTAGCCAAAAAGTTACTAAATTAGCCAAAAAGCTAACAACCCATACCAAAAAGTCAAAGATTCGTACTAGATGAAATTATTCATAATTTTTTTTTGATTTCAAGTCAATTTCATTTTCTCGATTTAAAAAGAGACAAATTACGACAGTAGCCATTGTACTTTAATCTTTGTATCATTTTAATTTCTATAATTCTAATTGACTCGATTTTAACTCTTATTCCAATTATTAATTAGTGTAATTTACCTTATTTTTATATAGAGGGATATTATATATCATCCATAGAGGTGAATAACATAGATTTTTATAAGGTAAATTGCAAACACATCTCTTAAGGTTTATTTAAAATACAGATTGTCTCCTGTATTTTTAATTGTTCTCCTACACAATAATAAAATTAATTTGAAATAAATTTCTGATATCATTAAAAATTGTTAACTTACGATGATTTGTTAATAAAGTAAGTCATTTGTTATGAAATTAAAAACTTAAAAGGACGAAATGTAATTTTTAAAATTATAGGAGAATTTTCGTATTTTAAAAGCAAATGCCGTTAGGCCGATTTGTAATTTACCCATTTTTATATGGTATGGTGGATTTTATAATTTTTAAATATGATGAATTTTAAGTATTTATATATTTTCTACTGTGTAAATATATAAAAGAAATGATATAATTGTAAAATAGTAAAATTAGTCTGATCCAATGATAAATAGGTATTGGCTGCCCAAGCGTTCAATGGAATAAAATAATTTTAAAAATTAAAATTATTTTAGGGACATTTATTTATAAATTATTTTTCACTTATTTATACTCAATTTAAATTATTTTCTTATATTCTAATAAATCATAGGGTGACATAGTTACTAAAATACCCTTAATAATAATATTCATATTGACAGTGTGAATTAGGGGTGGACTCAGGTCGATTGCGGCCACGGAACCTCCAATCCGCCATCCGTTCGTTAGATTGGCGGATTGGAGAAAATCAATCCGCATCTGTCTCCCAATTCGGCGGATGTGGATTGAGCAGTTTGGTGGATGGATGCGAATCGGTTTGGCGGTTTAAGATTTTATAAATTTTCAACATAATTCAACTTGTGCACTTCGTCAAAAAAAATAAAAATAAAGTATTACAGTCAATGACTTAAAAAACTATTACAATCACTATATGTCTCATCCAAAAAAAGAAAGTTTGAAACTTTAAAATATCACAATCAATGCATGGCTCATCTACATATTACAATCACAGAATCTACATATTACAATCACAGTATGATTCATCTTCATAAAGTATTACGATATGTGGTTCTTAAAATATAATAACAATTCAAACCACCAAAACCATGAACATGGCAATAGTAGAGATTGTATGTCTTTGTATTGTTACATCTATATATGTTTTTGAAAACAAAAACCAACCAGCATATATCATATTTTCTATTTATTATTTTTAGAATTAAATTTAAAAATCAAAAAATATAGATAAATAATACGTTTATTTTTTTCAATTCAAAAAATATATTCAAGTTGAAATTTTTTTTTCAACGGAATATTTAAACTCTTTTTTAATTGAAAACACAAACAAAATATTTAAACAAATTGAAAACATAAAGTCTTATAAATTATTAAGGGTGCTCACAGTTTGGCAGTTCGGTTGCGGCCAAAGGAATCTCAAATCAGCCATCCGTCCCCCAAATTGGTGGATTGAAGAAAATCAATCTGTAATCGTCCGCTCGTTATCACGCATTCGTCCAAAATGCGGCAGATTGGTTTGGTTCGGTTGATTTTGGAGGATCGACATATTCGCTACTCACCCCTAGTGTGAATGTTTTGTGATATGAATATTCACATTGTCAATATGAATGTTCACAATATTAATGTGAACGTTCATACCGTAAAATATGAATGTTCATATCATTAATTTACTAAATATTCAAAAAATATTTATAAAGATAAAATTATCTATAAAATATCTTATATTAAATATGAGAATTAGAATTTAGTGGATCAAATGTCTAAATAATAGAACTTATTGAAATGTAAAAATATATTATGGACTAACTAAAATATAAGTATTTGAAAAATGATTTCATAATAAATGCTTTAAAATAAATCTCTTATTGTTTTAATATATATGTCACATAAATTTTTATATACCAACTTTAAACACTATCTTTGGACTTGGTTATGGACCCAGCTTGCATGTAATTCCCATGTTCAGACTGAAGGGTCCACTTTCTATGGATGTGGGCACGCTTTGCGCGTATCGTAGTGATTCAGATCGTTTAAATTATAACACCAGCTATTCGTGATGGAGTTAGAAAATTAAATTGAAAGAACACTTATTATATATATATATATATATATATTTATAACTAACAATAAGAAGTTAATAATAATTTTTAAATTAATATTAAGTATAAAAAATTAAATAAATTGTTACAAAAGTATTTCACATAAAATTTTACAATTAATTTTGAGTAAAATGAAAAAGAAAGTATTACGTGTAACTAGTGTATTATGAGCAATGTAAAAAAGTCATATATTTAAGTTGTAAAATAAATTATATAATGGTAAGATAAATCAAATTTTTACAAAATTTGAGTAAAAATTTCATATAATAGTGATATCACGTCATTATTGACATATGATATCACCAATCAATAATAAAACAACATATGAAGGGTGAACTCCATATGCAAATATAACTAACACTCTAGTAATTTTTACATATATGTAGTGAGATTAATTTTTTCATACATAAAAATATAATTTTGTAGTCACTTCATTTTCAATAAAACAATCACTATTGTTTTCATAAATTTAAAAATGCCCTTGATATTTTATTCTAAATATTATTTTTATTTAAAATTTTATTATATACATATGTAAAAAAATAAAAAATATAAAAAATCTAAGGGGCACGCTAGGGATGACAATTTAAAACCGACCCGGCGGGGATCCCCGACCCCGACCCCGAATTGAACGGTTTTTTCCAGAAAAATACCCCGACGGGGAGAAAACGGTATTTGAAAATCAATCCCCGATTTGTTTCGGGCTGGGGACGGTAATCAGTGTTCAAGCCCCGGCCCGTCCCCGGCCCCGAATTTTCCCGAAATTAAATTACTTTTATACCCCTTATATATATATATATATATAATAAACCAAACCCTAAACTCGTGCGTCACTCTCTCTCAACTCTCGTTCTTCTCTCTCTCTCAACTCTCTCGCTCTCTCACTCACACCGACACTCCTCTCTCATCGTTGCTGTGCTCCCTCACCGCCGATCGTCCCACTCTCTCTCACACACATGACGGCGACGGCTCATCCTCATTTTATCACCAGCATCGCGGCGGCAACTCCTCTCCCTCTCACGGTATCTCCTCTCCTCTCTCTCACGGTATCTCATCATCATAGTTACTCTCTTTCTCTCTTTCTCTCTCTCTCTCTTTGATTTTTGTTTTTGTTCTTCAAATCTGGAAAATAATGAAGATGAAGATGGAGATGTTGATCTGTATTTTTGATGTTGATTTTTTTATGATGAAGATGGAGATGTTGATCTGTATTTTTTGATGTTGATCTGTGCTCCCTCACCGCCGATCTGTATTTTTTGATGTTGATTTTTATTTATTTTTTTATTTTTTTTTAGCCGGGAGTTTTTGGGGTTGGGGAAACCCGATCCCCGTTAGAGGCAGGGGGCGGTGATAGGTTCCCCGTCGGGGATCGGGGCTGGGGACGGGGAAATTTCCACCATCGGGGATCGGGAACGGGGAGTGTGATCCCCGACCCCGCCCCGCCGCGCCCTGCCCTGCCCTGCCCCGCCCCATTGCCATTCCTAGACACGTGACCCTCTAGTCCCCATGTGGCTCCGCCACTACCTGAGATGGAGATTATTTATATACAAAATTAAATTGGTTGGATATTAGTAGTTAACTCATCGAATCTTGAGGGCATGAAGTTTGCAAGATAAATGTGTTGTATTTCGGTCGTGATTCTACCTTTTGTTATGGGGGATGGGTGAGGTCTATTGTTACCCCGGTTCCTATGAATTAGGTTAAATTTGACCATCAACTAGCTATCCCGGGACCATGGCCTATAGATGCTATGATGATCCCACGGAGCGTCCTTTTTTCGATTAAAGAAATAATAATATGGTTCTAAAAATTGATCATTCATTCTTTTTATACAAATATCAACTAATCAGGCAACTATTGATATTTAATTACCTTAATTTTTTAGATGAGTAATCTATCCGATAAGTTTCATAAGTTCACGGTTCGGATCACAAAACAGACAAAAGGGAGCCCAAAACTATGGAAATTGGACGGGAAGCAAGTTGGGTTCTTTGGTTATCATTTCCTTCTTTTATCTGCTATTCTATGGGCATAATCCTCTCACATGAAGTGGATTTTTACAAAAAGGTGAGATTTACCTCATATGAGAAGGTCCGGATTTTCGTCTTCCCATACCTTTTCTTTATACTATATATAGGGTATTATATGGGACAGTCGAGTAATGTAGTGGTTGAATTTCTTTCTTCCTCTTCACATCTATGAAAGCTGCAGTTTGCGCGGGAATCAAGATCTCTCAGTGAGTAGAATTTTATTATTTTCTCTTTCCTTTCCTTTCTTTTCTTTTCTTGTTTTGTAAATGTAATTACTGTAATTTCACCATACAAGGAACACTACTATTCAAAAACTTCGAATGTAACCCAATTCTGAAAATATGTAACGAACTTTTTGCATGGTGTGGCGTTAGTTAAATTGCTGTGTTGTTTTAGTATTTTTGACAGAAAGATTGCAAATTAATTTCAAAAAACAAAAACAGAAAAAAGATTGTTCATTTATGATTCTGTGCTTCAAATTTCACCTTTTTATTATTGCTTTCAAATCAGTTTTGAAGGGAACTCTCTCTCTCTCTCTCTCTCTCTCAAGTCTTCTCTGTTCTATCAATCAGTGCAATATCTACAATTTTTGTTTGACTGGTTTTTTAAACATGTCATGTTCATCTTTGATAACACAACATATGAAAATGATGCTTTCTTTAACTAGGCAGTGAAATTTCAGAGAATTTTGACCTGATTCTTGATTTTTTAATATCTGCTCCGTTTGGTTTTTTTAGATACACTGTAAAGGAGGAGAAAATTTAGAGCTGCCCCCGTCTTTGAATTTCAACCTAGGGCGACTTACACTACTAGTTACTCTAGTTTAGGATTTGTGCCTCTTTAACTTTTTAATTATGATATATTTGATTTGAAATTTTAAATGTTATTTCAAATAAGAACAATCAAAATTTTTTGCAAATAGTCCATTTACAAGGGTAAAGTCGTCATATAATTTATTTTATGTTAGTTAACTTGTATGTTGTTTGAAATGTAATAATTTTTTTTAAATAAATAATGTTGGAACTTTTTTGGTTATAAACTTTTGTTTGGTTTACTTTTTAGAATTTATTTTCAGAAAAAATTTCTAGAAACTAAAAGTTAAATTTATAAAAAAAAAATTTAAAAGATATAATTTTTATATAATTTTATCTTTTGGGATGGTAGAAATATTTTTTTTAAATATTTTTTTTTTGTGATATTATTTTCGTTAATTAGTTTTTAATTTTTCAAAAGTTAAATATGGAGATAATTTTGATAACATTATTAAACTAGTCCATTAAATCAAAAAAATCCAAAACTAAAAATATTTCATATATTAAAAATATCGATTACAAATTAAAAGTCTAATAACCATTCATTACATGATAACTATCCAAAAATATTTATTAACAACAAATACAACCATGTATTACATTATAGCCATCTAAAAACATTAACAAAAATAATCACCCATTACATGATTATCATCCAAACATATACTAAAAATTAATGTGGTAAACATATAAAAGATTTATTATTTTTATATAATGTTATCTTTGGTGGGTAGAAATAATTTTTAAAAATTCAAAAATATTTTTTTGACATTTATTTTGATCAAACTAGTTTATATTTTATTAAATTAACGACTTTATCCTTGAAATAGAATAATGATATTTTTAATTATTCTTATTTAAAATGAGATTTAAAATTTAAAATTAAATATATGATAATTAAAATTATAAGTACCATTAGTATAATTCTACCTTCAATCTATTATCTTTTGCCAGTCTAACAAGGAATCAAATATAGCACAATTAATTTACAACAAGACTACAAAATTGGCCATATGATGTTGGATTCAACGGTTAAAAAGACAGTTTCACTCATATTACTTTACGTATATTTTATATGGCCAATTTTGTGTCCCTAGAATTATTTATTGATTTAGGCTTCATTTGGGAATAGGTTTTTTAAATAATTTTTTGATTTTTTAACTAAAATATAATATAAAAAATTAGTATATTTAAAATGACTTTTTAATTTTTATGAAAAGATATACAAAAAATAAAGAAAAAATAGAATCTTTGACTTTTTGGTATATGTTGTTAGTTTTTTAATTTTTTTAGTAACTTTTTTAATTTTTTAACTAAAAAAGTCAATTGCCAAATGAGGCCTAGATTTTGGAAATTACTTTTTTTTTTGTAGTTATCTTTTAGGGAAATAACCACACAAAATAATAATAATAATAATAATAATAATAATAAAAATTCTAAAGTTTGACTCTTATAATAAAAAAAATCTTAATTTTTAATTTTATCAATTTAAACTTTAATGTTTTAATTCATTTTCAATTTAAATTATACGCTTATTTTTGTTAAGTAAAGCTGACAAAAAAAAATGATATTTTAATCATTAAACACAATGCATTTGTACATCAAATGTCTAGACTATCATTTTTCCTTGAGTTTTTTTTTTCTCTATAACTTAGCCTCCGTTTGGGAAGTGGGTTGGTTTTTTGACTTTTTGGCTTTTTTGACTATTTTAGCCTGGACTTAAAAGCTTGGTATGGGAAGGACTTTTTGGCTTTTTGACTTTTTTGAGTTTTTTTGTGAGAGAAGAATGTAATGATTATGGGTTGGATGTGATGTTTTGTTTGTTATGGTTAAAATAACCTATTTTGTCTTTTGTAGTTAAAATAGCCAAAAAAACCCAAGAACTGACTTGCCAAACAGAGGTTAAGGGTGTCCGGATTAGTTTGCACGCACCTTAACTAAAATATTTTTTTCCGTTGAGTTTAATAACTAAAATATTCTCTCTTTTTTTTTTGATCAATTTTACTTAACAAAAGTAGACATATAATTTAAATTGAAAATAAATCAAAACATTAGAGTTTAAATTAATAAAATTAAAATTTTATTTTATCAAACGGTCAAACCCGGGATTTTTTTTTCATAATTTTCTCTATTTTTTTTAATTCTGTTTAAGATAAAGTTGTTATTAAAAATAAAATAAAATAAACTGATGTGTTTATTTTTGTCTTTAATGATTTTTTTTAGATTTTAAAATTATTTTTCAATTTTTATATCCTTTTACACTATTAATTTGTAATAATTTTTTAAACTTCCACCTACATGTCAGTGAAACAGATTAGACTTGGCATCGAGGTGTGTAACTCAAACTTGCACCCCCACAACTTTTGTGTTGTACCTCACCATACAAGAAGTTGCACCCCATGTTTTGCAAAAAAAATTCGTCTTCTACCCCTAGAAAAAAGGAAAAAAAAAAAAATCAAATATTTGTTAAAGTAATTTTTACATCCTCAACATACTCTTTTTTTTTTTTTTTTTTTTTTTTTTTTGAATTTTTTCTCATATTGTGAACGATTTTTTTATTTTTATTTATTGATGTGAATCATTCTTTCAAAGACTAGTGCTTTAAATTTTTATATCCTTTCTTGGACATTTGACCAGGTGTGTTTTTAATTTTATTTATCCTTATTTTTTGTGTTTTCAGAAACAAAACATTGCTGATGTTTTTGTTTTGTTTTTTTTTATCTTATGTTTTCATTTTCATGTTTTTAAAAACTAAAATGAAAACTTACTCGATATATACTTTTTATTTTTTTAAAAAAATGAATTGATTTCAAAATTTTTGGAAACAAAAAAATAGTACTTTTAAAACAAATTTTCACTCTCCCCTCCTCCCACCACCACCCACACTGTCAGCGGCCGACAAATTTCCATCGACCTACAGCCACCATTATGCAAGTCTCCAGCGGCCACCACCTCTAGCTTTCAAAACAAATGTACGCCAAACAAGTTTTGTTTTTGTTTTTTTAAAAAAAAAACTTGTAATATTTTCTTAATTGAAAACAAAAAACTGACAAGGTTATCAAACGACACCTGAAAAGTTCGAAAACGTCAATCATTTTCGTTTTTGTGGAAAAGCAATTTTCTAAAATTTGGTGTTTCCAAAAAAGTAGTTTGTTTTGAGAAATTTTTTCTGGAAATCAGTTTTTGGAAACAATTCCAAAAATAAAAACAGAAAATGAAAACACAACCAAACTCCACCCAAAATGAATGCATTTTATTTTCCTTTTGAAAATGTGACCACATAGGAGGAAAAAGGAGAAGCAAGTTTTGGAGACATAGTTATAATTTTTTAGGTGACATACTTCTCTAATTGAAACCTAGCACTAAATTCATTAGGCAACTCATCAAATGTTTTTTCTGTAACTATTTTTAATTTTTTGTTGGTAATTGATTGATTATAAGTCATTGTAATTCATGATGTCTTTTATTTTATTGAAGGTTTAAACTTTAAACCAATAATTGCTGAATGACATTTTCCTTCTGTTGCCTCCCAGTTAAATGGCACCTCTATATATATATATCTGAACTTTTTCTCTTCTTCCTCCTCTTGCTCTTCTTGGATTAGAATTAAAGCAAACTTATTTCCACAATTGTTGATCGGAGATTACTTATTTAAATGTTTTTATATGTTAGGAGTGTACGTAAAAGGAATTCCTCAACGGTCTACAAACAAGTTTCAGAATGAATTTCTTGAATCTGTTTGTTGTGGCATTGATGCCAGTTCTGAAAACACTGCTGATCAGCGCTATTGGGTTATTCCTTGCGCTTGATCGAGTGAATATTCTTGGGGCAGTTGCAAGGCACCACTTGAACAATGTAAGATAATGCTAAATATATATATACAATTTCTTTTGATTTTTACCAGAATAAACTGTGTAGTTCAAGTTTAGCATTCAATTATATATATGGTGTTATGACATCTGAGCCTACCAAGTGGTGAAATAATTTTAGACACTCTCAAAAGGCTCGAATGTTTGGAGTAACTAGTTGTTTACATGATATCAAAGCAAGAAGGTGAACTATTAACTTCTAGAGCAACAATTTTGAAACAAAGTAATTTAAACTATGCAGAAAAAATGAAACCACTTGCTTTAGTTTCCATGTAATGCATGTTTTCCTGGGATTTTCTGACATTCTTTTAGTTTTCCTTTTGTTAAAGGGATTACGGTTTAAAAAATAAATAAAATAATTAAAATATAAATAAATAAAAACACCCATGTCAGTGGTGAAATACACAATGCCATGGGGGTTGATAATTTCATCTCCAAATGTTGTCCTAGATCATGACTTTTGGTTACTGATTCAATTTTACTGGCTAATTTAGAGTAACATTTCATCTTGAATTTACTGAAACACTCCACTGTTTAATGATATCATGAATCATTTTACCATAAACATGTTTCATTCTATACACCAGTGTAAGAAAATGACATCAAAGTTCTATACCGAATACATCTAATTAGTAACCAGTAAATTAGCAAAATAGCACATGTCACTATTGAAGCTAGGATTGATTCAAAATTTTGGTTTTTTAATCCGATCACTTCATGATTGTGAACAGCTGGTATTCTATGTGTTCTCCCCTGCACTTATTGTTAGCAATCTGTCCAGTACAATCAAAGCAACCAATATAGTTTCTTTGTGAGTAGATTCTCTATTTACCTTCTTTCTTTTTTTTTTAAATTCCTCTTTATTTTGCTGTTTAATTTTTGGATTTAATGTGTAGGTGGTTCATGCCTCTGAATATCCTCCTCACATTTATTATTGGTTCAGCACTTGGATGGATACTTGTTAAAATCACCAAAACTCCTAAACATTTTCATGGCCTCGTGATTGGTTGCTGCTCGGCAGGTACATCAACATTTCCAAAAAAATTGCAAATTTTTTTCTCCCAAATTGTATATGTGTATTCACTTGGCCGTTTAAAACCTTGTACCTGTGGATAGTTGTGGTACCAAATTGTTGTGGGCGTTTCTTGAATTCAACCTAGATTTTGCTTCTAATCCGTTGGTGACTCGCACAATTTGAACTTGTTTTGATATTCGATATATTTTGACCTAGTTTGCTATTATTTGGATCCTTGTATATATCATGGGTTATTTTGAGTTCCAGGGTTTTATGGTTCTTGAGATAGGGTCGGCTCATTGGAGTCGCCGATGGATGTAGGTTTGTATGTTTGTTTTATTTTTATTATTATCTCTTAATTTCAGGTTCCTCCATAACTCAAAATCTTACATGATACTATTTTTTATTGGACTCTTCCAAAATTATAATTATTGCCTCTATAGTGTCGAACACCGACACGACACTTGTCGGACAATTCCTAACAAATGGGGACTAAAGTAGGTATATTTTTTATTTTTTTATTTTATGAATGACATAATATAATTGTTTATGCATATATAATAAATATATAAATTTATATATTTTGCAGATGGTCCTCATGTTCTATAATTTTTGAAAAATTAAGTGTCCTGTCACGTGTCCGTGACATGTTTTTGTGCTTCTTAGGGCTTTTCAATCATAATTTTTGTGGGGACTGAACTGTACAGGTAATTTGGGAAACTTGCTTCTAATTATCATCCCGGCAGTATGTGAGGAGAAAAATAGTCCATTTGGAGATTCATCAACCTGCTCAACTAATGGACAGGCATACACATCCCTCTCTATGGCGGTAATGTCTGTCTCTACATTGTGATTTCAGTTTAAACAAATGTCTTTGCTATGATGCCACAGGTTTATGTAAACAGGAAATAAGGATTTTTTTTTGGTTAAAAAAAATGTACACAATCAGAGGGTTGCCAGAAATTGGTTGTCTGTGACCAATGGCTGGAGGTGGTGGACAGAGATGGTAGGAAAGGGAGGAGAGCGAAAACTTGCTTTGAAAGTTGTTTTAAACTTTAAAAAAAATTAGAATTGATTCCACTTTCATGGAACTAAAAACAATATACTAAATAAGTTTTCATTTCTAGTTTCAAAAAAACAAAAACAGAAAATAAAAAACGGAAATGTTATCAAACGATAATTTAACAGTTATCCACGGAGCATTTCAATTTGTCTTATAATTTGTCGTTTTGATATTCCAGACAGGATCAATTTATATATGGTCTTATGTATATAACATCATGCGGGTATCTCAAAGTAAGAGCAATGAAGAAGTCAACATAAATGGCTCTTCCAGTATTATTGGCATGAAGTCTCAGTCTCCTAGACAAACCTCTGAGAGCTTCACACAAGCATTACCTTCAAATGATTGCCCAAGGTCTAGGGACACTGAAGCTCAAGCTCAACTACCTCCCATTGAATCTGATGATAAAGTAATGATAACTCTCCCTATTTCCCTACCTTCACTTGTAAACTGAAATGATTTTTCAATGTTTTTGAAATCCTGTTTTTGCTTTGGTTGCTTTCTTCTCTTTATTAGCATCCATGGTGGCACAGATTCGATAAAAAACAAGCTTTATAAAAATGAAAATAAGACTGCGTACATTTTGCCCTCCCCAAACCTTGCTTTAGCGGGAGTCTCATGCACTGAGTCTTTAGTTTTCATACTTTCTTATAAGTTTGTTAGAGGGTATTGGTAGCTTAAATTTTATGATAATGTTAGAAGGCCCAAACTTCGTTCACCTTCCCTTCAATACAAGTTAGACATACACCAACCTTGGTAAATTTTAAAGGCTACTTAGGTGTTGTTAGGGAACAACACAAAAAAATCAAAAATTCACTTCAAAAAGTCAACCCATTCTTTCTACTACTTTACACGCTTTTTTTTGTAAAAAAAAAAATTAAAAAATCACTAAAAATAGCCTCTCGAGTTGTGAGAGTTATTGTTTTGTTTGCTTGTTTCCTAGGCTCTCGGGTTGTGAGAGTTTCTTTTTCTAGAACATTGCGTAGGTTATATTTTTTAGCCTCCTATTGTTAGAGGAAGCTTTTTGGTTTTCTGGGCAGTTTTGGAGTGTCTTTTATCATCTTTTCCTTTTTGTAATAAAAGAAAAATTCAATCAAGGTGTCCTTACAAGGCTTCAATGTAATCAAATTGACCCACTAGATGATTCAGTTGATTCCAATTGTTTTTGAGATGTGGTTGTGCAGAGTAATGCAAAGGGAGAGGATCGGCACTCAAGTGACGAGTAGAAACCTATTGTAGACTTCAATTTTTAAGTTTAAAAAAAAAAAAAATAATGATAATAGAAATTGGAGGAAGTAATGTGTATTAATTTAACATGGGTATATCTACAATTTGATTTCTAATTACTTACAGAGCAGCCACGAACCTTATCCTTTGACAGGTGCTGATTTTCAATAAGATTAAGAAGGATGTGAAGATTTTTGTGGAAAAGATCAACTTGAAGATGTTGTTTGCACCACCAACCATTGCATCTGTACAATCCTGTTGATGTTTATAATATTTTTCAAGAGTTACATCCTTAATCAAGTAGGTTGTTCAATTCTTTCCTCTAGTTTAACATTTGTTGTTGTTTTGTGTCACAGATTGTTGGGCTTTTGATTGGAGTAATCACACCAATAAGGAAGATTATGATTGGAGATAACGCCCCTCTTCGTGTGCTCAAGAGTTCTGCATCTTTGCTGGGGTATGTATCCTACTGCTGCAAACTTTTTGATTTCATTTGGATAGATGAGTTGCAAATGAAAGGATTTTGAGATTAAATTTGGATAAAAATTTAATAGAGTAAGCGATTATAGATAGATTGAGAAACTCAAATGGAAGATTAAATAGAGTAAAAAGATATGTATTTAAATCCACTAAGGTAAAGCTCTCAATTTCAATTTTGAAACCCATATCTAAACTATCATGTCTAACAGACCTTCAAATCAAATTAAAAAATTTGAAGGTCTGTTAGACATTGATACACAGTACAAAGGGCTTCTTCTCAAACCAGAAAATTAATAACTTTCAACTAGCAGCGCAAGTGTCAATATGTTTTATCCTTAAAGAGACAGAAAAATGTTCTTATAGTAGCAGACAGAAGATTTCTCGAAAAATAAACAACAAAGTATTTAAAAAAATATTATTGAATGAACGATTTGGTTGCTTCCACTACTATATTACTACTACCCTTTGGGCCCTTTCCCCTAAAACACCATGGCAACAACAATACTCCATACCTATAATGCTTCCTATACTACAAGTAATAAATGTTAACTCCAATGTTTTAATTGATTGCTTATCTAGTCACCATCATTTGCAAATTGATATGTCAAGAATATTTGTTCATGAACTTTTCTCTTGGCCTTGTTATTTTGCTGCAGGGAGGCAACAATTCCATCCATGACATTAATAGTAGGAGCCAACCTTCTTACGGGTAATTTTTCTCTTTTTTATTTTTTTCCCCTCTTTTTTGGTACATTGGAGGCCATAGCATGGGTGACGACTCGAACCCTTGATCTCATATAGTGAGGTGCAGGGGCTTTGGCCATGGGTAATTTATTTATTTATTTTGATTTCATTCATGCTTACCTTGGTGGTCAGTCTGTTTCTAGTTTCCACTAATATGGGCAGAAGTTGGTTCGGCTTTAATCTTTTAAATATGTTTCTTAATCATATTTCAGGATTAAAAAGATCGGGAGTAGGCCTCTGGGTTGTTATAGGGGTCAATGTAGTTCGGTATATTGCATTGCCCCTATTGGGTATCCTTGTTGTTAAGGCTGCACACCATTTTGGCTGGGTTGGATCGGATTCGTTATATCAGTTCATTCTTTTGCTTCAGTATGCACTTCCATCTGCAATGAGTATTGGTATGTTTAGTTTTATTGATCTTTCATTATCTGCTCTTTTTGGCAGCTCATATCTTTTCACTTCTTCCATTCTTCCATCTTAATCTCAAGTAAAATTTCATTTAATGCTCTCCATATCAAGCTTAATATCTACCACTTGAAGTTGAGATGAATTTAAAATATTTCAAATTTCCAACACAAAATCAATCATAAGGTTCATATTAAGAAAATGCTTCAGAATACACAAGCCTCCACCCAAGCAGTGTGTGTGTTTTACAATTTCATAAAGCGACCAAAGTCCAAGGATGGTGCAACGGAATTTCTCTAGTCATCAAAATTTGAACGGTTTTCTTTGTTAGTTGTTTCTTTTCTTTATTTTTATTATATTTTCTTATGTTATTTCTCTGGACTTGGTAGGTACAATCACCCAGTTGTTCGACATTGGTCAGAGTGAATGTTCTGTTATTATGCTATGGAATTATGTTGTGGCTTCACTCTCCCTAACACTTTGGTCAACCTATTTCATGTGGATTGTAACTTGAAATTTTTTTCAGATCATTTTAATTTTAATTATTATTTTTTTGCTTTCGTATCCATCAAATTGATATACAATGCGGTGTTGAGATTGTTTACAATATACCCTCTCTCTTTCTCTAGTTTAATTTCAATTAGAGGAAGTGAGAGTTAGATGCTCTCTCTTTTTTCTTTTTCTTTTTTAAACAGTTGGAACTCTAATCCTAGTAATTTACATTGCAAATTCACAAAGAACTACCCTTAATATGAAGTGTTGTTGAATGTTTTGTCATGATCAACCAACTAGAGTTTGTGCAAAGTGCATAGAAAAGCTCACAACCCAATTATGATGGAAACGTATGCACACACACACAAGATATGAACATTTGATTAAGTCCATGGTTGAGGTTGTTGTGCTGCTTCAGCAACACTTGGCTTAGCAGTGCAAGCCAATCCATTCCAGTTCAGTTTCTGTTATGGAACAGTTAGTGGGAGTTAGAGATAGATAGTTAGGCTATAGTTAGTTACTGGAAGTTATGCAACTTGTATTGATTGTAACAAACTCTAACCAATTATGTTACATCTCCCTCTACCTCATGGTCTATATAAAGTCATGCCCCGGATTTTAAGAAATTAATTTAGCGGAATTTAATTAACCGAAGCATGATATATTTGTTAGAAAACTCCAATTTTTAACCTTTGCTTGTTTGCCAATCATTATCCTAACTTAAACAGAATGTTGGTTTGTCTAGTAAAATTTATCAGCTGCTAAATTTCGAGTACAAAAGTGCTTCCAGGGAGCTTGATTTCTTAGTAATACTGGTGCAATTTGTTCTACAATGTATATGAGATCGAGATAGACTTGTGTACCTTTCGTGAAGAACATTTTAGATCCCATAAGAATGCTTACAATGAAACTAGTTGAAGATTTTGAAGGAGAAAGAGTTGTTTTATTCTTTAATTTCTATTTAATTTTTTTTACAAAAATTATGCCCACTTTCAAACTTGACAAGTGTATATACATTTCGTTAGTTTGGATAAAAAAGATAGCCAACTTAATTTAATCCAAAACAAGAAGTAATTACTCTGCCTATATCATATATATATATTATTAAAAGTAATGTTTTTGTCTTACTTAGGTGGCACATTAAAAATGTTTGCCTTTTTTTAAGAGAGTCACGCCAGTATGTATTTTCTTAATTACATATACACAAATTCATACCTAATTTAAATTATACTAACTTTACCTATTTTATATGGACTCTATTTGACAAATTTTTTTTTTTTTTTTTTCCATATATTGAGATAATCCACAAACCCAATACAAATTTTGGATTTCACGTTTTTCTTTTTAATTTTTTCAAGGGTATTAGGATTTTTTTTAATACTAAATTGTTTTCTTTTTTTTCCTTCTTATTTTTTTGTGCATTATTTTATACCCAGTACCAATTCTATATTATGGATTTATCGCTAAATTTTATAGTAATTCTATATATGAAATTATACTTCATTTCCTATATTATTTTATATAATCGCAACTCACATGAGAAAAAATCTATACAATAATATTACTCTCGAGGAACCTCAAAAGTTTGGATTTACTGCTTGAATTATTTTTTCAATTGTTGAACAGTAAGTTCTTTTATGTTTTGATATTATATTACAGATGATTAATCATTTCATACACATTGAGATGTATTTGTCGTTTGGATATTTTCATTATTTTTTTCTTTTTGGGTTTAGATGTTGTTATGTGATTCTTTCTTAATTAGTTGTTGTTGAATTTCTTTTATATAGTTAATATTTTAATTTAATTAAGAGTGTTTATTTTACAATCTTATAATTTTTGAATTAATTTGTATAATTTCTATTTCTACATATTTTTATTTTCCAACTAAATATAAAAGAAAATTAAATAGTTAAAATTACTTTTAATTTTATGTTACTAATTCTACTTCTAATTTAACTATTTTTTAAATATCAAAATTGATGATGTAGTTTGTCCCAGTGAATGGATCGGACTGGTCCAAACTCCTCAAGCCCAGGTCCATATGATCAAGCCCTTCTTCCATTCTTCCATCTTAATCTCAAGTAAAATTTCATTTAATGCTCTCCATATCAAGCTTAATATCTACCACTTGAAGTTGAGATGAATTTAAAATATTTCAAATTTCCAACACAAAATCAATCATAAGGTTCATATTAAGAAAATGCTTCAGAATACACAAGCCTCCACCCAAGCAGTGTGTGTGTTTTACAATTTCATAAAGCGACCAAAGTCCGAGGATGGTGCAACGGAATTTCTCTAGTCATCAAAATTTGAACGGTTTTCTTTGTTAGTTGTTTCTTTTCTTTATTTTTATTATATTTTCTTATGTTATTTCTCTGGACTTGGTAGGTACAATCACCCAGTTGTTCGACATTGGTCAGAGTGAATGTTCTGTTATTATGCTATGGAATTATGTTGTGGCTTCACTCTCCCTAACACTTTGGTCAACCTATTTCATGTGGATTGTAACTTGAAATTTCTTTACGATCATTTTAATTTTAATTATTATTTTTTACTTTCGTATCCACCAAATTGATATACAATGCGGTGTTGAGATTGTTTACAATGTACCCTCTCTCTTTCTCTAGTTTAATTTCAATTAGAGGAAGTGAGAGTTAGATGCTCTCTCTTTTTTCTTTTTCTTTTTCTTTTTCAAACAGTTGGAACTCTAATCGTAGTAATTTACATTGCAAATTCACAAAGAACTACCCTTAATATGAAGTGTTGTTGAATGTTTTGTCATGACCAACCAACTAGAGTTTGTGCAAAGTGCATAGAAAAGCTCACAACCCAATTATGATGGAAACGTATACACACACACAAGGATGGATCTAGGGGGGCGGCCGCACCCTCAAAAATTTGAAAAATATCATATATTATATTAGAAATTTTAAAATAATTTAAAATTATAGGAGTTCGCACCCCCAAATTTTTTTTAGATAATTTCAAAATTATATAGAGTAGCCCCCAATTTGTAGTTTGATAAACATGTTCAGTGCTACTTGTGCAGTCCTAAGAAACATAATTAATGATAGAAGCAAATTGAATCAACGAGCTGAGGCAAATGGAGTTTATGATTCCATTACATCTTTTGAGTTTGTCTTCATCTTACATCTTATGAGGGATATCATGGAGATTACTGATGATCTTTGCCAAACTTTGCAAGTAAATGTCAAGATATATTAAATGCAATGCATTTGGTGTCTACAACGATGATACTTATTTAAAAATTTAGAGAAGATGGATGGGTTCCATTGTTGGAGAAAATTAAATTATTTTCTAATGATCATGGTATACAGATGCCTGATATGAGTTGTCCTTATAAAGGAGGCCGAGGTCGGTCTCATTCTGAAAGAGATCAACTCACATGGAACATCATTTTCGAGTTGATATTTTTATGGTTACAGTTGATACTCAGTTACAAGAATTAAACAATAGGTTTGAGGAAGATGTAATGGAATTGCTTGTTCTTAGCTCAACTTTGGATCCTAGGGATGGTTATAGATCATTCAAAATTGAGGATATTTGCAAACTTGCAAATAAATTTTATCCCATGGATTTCTCCGAGCAAGAAAAATTGCATTTGAAATATCAGTTGGAAAGCTATAAGCTTGATATTTCCATACTTCCCGAGTTTCAGAAGCTGTCAACCATTTCTGAGTTATGTCAATTGTTGGCAAAAACAGAAAAGTTGGCAAGTTATCCTCTTATTGATAGATTGATCCGCCTTGTGTTTACTTTACCCGTTTCAACTGCTACATCAGAACGTGCATTTTCAGTTATGAAACTCATTAAGTCTAAATTGCGCAATAGGATAGAAGATGGTTTTCTGGCTAGTTACTTGATCACGTACATTGAAAAAGACATTGATCGAGGGTTTGATGTAGATTCTATCATCCATGCTTTTGATATTATGAAAGAGCGTCGAGTTCAATTGAAGATGCCTAATTTTAGTATATAAATGCATGTAGATATAATTACTACTTTTTGTAAGTGAATATGGGCAAAAAAATATTCTCAATTGTATAATCATCTTTTGGTACTCAACTATGTTGACAGGGAATATATAATTCAATATTTTATCGTAACATTATTGATTTTTTCCATATTAGTAGAAATTGGTATTGAACTTCAAATTTTATTTGTCAGAGGTTAAACGTACTTTGGTCCCCCCAAAGTCATAATCCTGAATCCATCTCTGCACACACACAAGATATGAACATTTGATTAAGTCCATGGTTGAGGTTGTTGTGCTGCTTCAGCAACACTTGGTTTAGCAGTGCAAGCCAATCCATTCCAGTTCAGGTTCTGTTATGGAACAGTTAGTGGGAGTTAGAGATAGATAGTTAGGCTATAGTTAGTTACTGGAAGTTATGCAACTTGTATTGATTGTAACAAACTCTAACCAATTATGTTACATCTCCCTCTACCTCATGGTCTATATAAAGTCATGCCCCGGATTTTAAGAAATTAATTTAGTGGAATTTAATTAACCGAAGCATGATATATTTGTTAGAAAACTCCAATTTTTAACCTTTGCTTGTTTGCCAATCATTATCCTAACTTAAACAGAATGTTGGTTTGTCTAGTAAAATTTATCAGCTGCTAAATTTCGGGTACAAAAGTGCTTCCAGGGAGCTTGATTTCTTAGTAATACTGGTGCAATTTGTTCTACAACGTATGTATATGAGATCGAGATAGACTTGTGTACCTTTCGTGAAGAACATTTTAGATCCCATAAGAACGCTTACAATGAAACTAGTTGAAAATTTTGAAGGAGAAAGAGTTGTTTTATTCTTCAATTTCTATTTAATTTTTTTACAAAAATTATGCCCCCTTTCAAACTTGACAAGTGTATATACATTTCGTTAGTTTGGATAAAAAAGATGGAAAATTTGGTTATAAATTTCATTTACCTTTCTTTCATTGTTAGAAAGATTAAGAAAAAAATTATACTTTCTAAATCCCCTCATAATTATAAAATCTTGCATAAATGACAAAATTTATTATTTAAATATTTTATCAGACTATTATACTCTCACATATACACAATCCAGATACAAAATTTATCTTCTCTCTCGTCTCTCACTTCTAACCCTAGCTTCCTCCATGGCCGGAGCTGTGTCATTCCTAAGCTCCGACGA